CAGATGATACTGCAATATTATATGAAGGCACTGACTGGTCTGATCTGAAAAATGTAATTGAAAATGATTTTATCAAAATTATTCGGTGGTTTGACAGTAGAAAATTAAGCATTAACTACTCTAAAACACATTTTTTACCATTTGGATCTTATGCTAGACATCTGCCAAATTACACAAATTTCTCCTTCAATATTAATGATCAAAAAATGCAAATTAATAGAGTGCCTAACATAAAATACCTTGGAGTGGTCTTGGATCCTCACTTACGATGGGACATCCATGTCAATTATATTTTAAAGAAAGTTAGATTTGTATCCTACAAAATTAAATACCTTGGGAATATATTGACAGAAAAATATCTTCGAACATTATACCATGCACTGATTGAGCCTCATCTCACATATGGTATATTAGCATGGGGAGCTGCATGTTCCTCACATATCTATAATTTAGATGTTTTTCAAAAAAGTATTCTAAAAATGTTATTTAAAAAACCGAAACTTTATCCCACTGAAAAATTATACGCAGATATTCGAATGTATGATATAAGACAGCTTTATTTCTTACACAGTATCACTCACTACCATAAATTTGTAAACACCGACCAAAAAATTAAATATAGTCATTATACCAGGTACAAAATTCGTGGCACAGTAGTTCCTCAACCGCATAAATCTATAATGCAGCGATCATATCTCTATTTAGCGCCTAAATTTTATGAAATTATACCTAAAGACTTAAAAGATATACGTTTCGGAAATTGTTTCAAAAGAAATTTAAAAAAGTGGCTACATTCTATATCTAGGACTGAAATTCATAAACTCATAAATACGAACATCAACTAAATACATAATCTACTGTAGCTAATTTTTGTCCTTTTTTGTCATTTGCATTCTACAGCTACAACTTAAATTTATTAGTCCATGTACAGGCGATGCCTTCTATTGGGCCTGTTTTGATTTTATATTTATTTACTCATATTGTTTGTTATCTTTGTACATTGAGTGAATAAATATTATATTATTATTATTATTACTTGCCGTTGAATTGTGCTAAGCTATAAGAAATTGAAAAGTCTCCAATTAATTCCGCAACAGGTATAAAAAATTCAACTAGATGATTCGTGCAGGTGAATTGAACATCAAGGAACGTGACCGGACAACTAGATGATATTTCGGACATCTGTATTTTGTGATATGTTGCCTACTATATGCCAGCAGCCAAAATTGAAACCAATTTGTTTTTTAATTTGTATGTATAGCTGATAAATATTCATAACTTTTGGAACTAATTTGCAGAATTAATTTTTCGAGTATGATATATTAATTTGTTTGTTCATGCCGATGAGCTGCATCCTTGGTTACATTAAATATTTGACATCATTAAGTTATATCTCACCTGCTAGTTATTTGCAGTACACATTCGTCGAATATGCAGAATGTTTTTAGATTGGACATAAGTCTCGCTCAAAGCAGCGGTATAAGTTTTGTTTGCAGTTATCAAAAATGCTTATGGATGACAGTGTGAGCAGAACCGCAGTTTAATTTCTAACATTTGGTTCAGAAGTTTCGAAATAGCTATGATTCGTATGGGAAACTGCTAAGAATGCATAAGGAGCAACATGTTTCACCTAGTGAATATCATCACCAAATGGTGTTGATAATAATAGACATACATGCCGCGTTTGTGAGCCTTATAGTTAATCTTATTTCACATTTATTAGTCTAACCATATTAGACGAAAATGCCCCTGTTTTGCGAAATAATTGTAAAGTCTGATTTTACAGTTGCAAAGTTGTTCAAGGGGTATTTAAAACCTGGACGCATAAAATGGGTACACCAATTTTTGTGTTAAAACTTTTTATTCGACAACAAAGAATGGGAAAACGTGTGTTTTAGGATTCAATTGAAAGTGGGAACGAAAAAAATTCTCAGCTATTTATGACACATACAAAATGAGACCAGACGTAAAAAGGTCCGACTAATAGCAAAAATGTGATGGCCGAAAACCGAGGCAAACTGCTGGTTTTGGCACTTGTTGGTAATGCGACGATGGTTTCTTGCAGATACTTGAAATTCTTCACAGTAGTAGCGTACTTCTTAATAACGACAACAAAATTGGAGCAGATTGGTCAAGTGGTTTTTGAGAATTTCCCATTGTTTATCCCAAAACACCTGATTTCCGGCCATCATTACTAGTTTATTGAGCAATATACAGGGTTAGTTCAAAGGACATTTTCTAGCAAAATACCTTGCCGATATGAATCGCAAACTGTTCCAGAAGATGAATGTTATTTTTATGCAAAAATGATGGGTTACGTTTTTTCTTCTAAACAAATTCAAACATTTCGTATTTGTGACCAAATTGCAGCAAAAGATGATAAATACATCCGCTTTTTTTTAGAATGTGTATAGTAACGTATGTTTTCCGAATATCGTAGCGCATTTGTTCAATAACTCACAAATACGAAATGTTTGAAATTGTATAGAAGGAAAGAACGTAATCATCTTTTTGCGCATAAGAATAACATTTATCTTTCAGAATGGTTTTTGATCATATCGCCAAGGAAAACACGTGTATTTTGCAAACAATTAAAAATTCTCATAAACTGCTTGACCAATATACTCGAATTCTGTTGTTGTTATTTAGAATTATAAATCCTATGGATTTGGAGAATTACAAGTAGTTACGTGCAATTATCGTCGCATTACCAACAAGTGCCAAAACCTGCATTTTCCCTCGTTTTCCGGCCATAACATTTTTGCTATTAGTCGGATCTTTTTACGTGTGGTCTCATTTTGTATGTTTCATAAATACCTTATTTGAAAAGTTTTTTCGTTCCTGTCACCACTTTCCATTGATTCCCAAAAAACACGTTTTCTCATACTTTGTTATCAAATAAAAAGTTTTCCCACAAAAATTGGTGTACCCTTTTTATGCGTTCATGTTTTAAATACCCCCTTGAACCAGACCTTACAATTATTTCGGGAAACTTTGCTCATGTGATTAGACTATATCACACATGAATCATTAGAGAGGTTTTTGTCAGCAACTGCAAATGTCAATTTCGATATACTTCTAGTTAATTTCGTGTTCATTATTGATAACTTGCATTCATTTTTGAAATCGACAATCATTTACTCACTCATCTATTCTGTGTACTGTAAGCTGCTAGTACTCCATTTTGCATACTGCCATCCGCTTGACACGCCATTCCAATTGAATACATACAATAAATTATTTTTTCAAATCACTTCATCTTACATCTATGGGGTATTTCACAAGGATAGTTATAATTTATTTATGTTACGCTCAGCGGCTTGCGTTTTTTGGCTTATTATTTCATTCATCTGATGTTATGTATACCTTTTTTAGAATCTGTGATCTTTTTTATATAATGATGAATCAATATTTATATTCATGCCATAAGGACTAACATAACCAGAAACCGAACATTTTAAGCTCTCATGGTATTGGGCAAATGCCAAAGCGAAAATAGCCGTTAAAACTCGTTAGGACTAATCTTTCGTAAATGAAAAGGGTTTTTATGGTTGATAAGGTTAACAGACCGGAAGACGCTACAGTGCCGACTCCGTATAACGATAGCTACGCTTTTGTCGACAAATGTGCTAACCAAAAGCCTATTGAGGTAAATGTCAAATAAGGTTAACATTAACGTTTTTGTATACGGCAATATGTTCTGATTTTACAGTGGTTCAGACATAATTACTGACCATTTTACTATCATAGTCGTAAGTTTCCCAAACCAACAGCATTTTGTATGGTATGGCTTGGGGATTGCCAGTATTAGATTCAATTCTAATTTCTAATATATTGCTTTTGGAACAAAAAAGTATCTGGAATCATGATTACCAGCGGTAATATAAGTGATTATAATTTGTTTTGTCGGGATTCCGCAGGTGTTGTATCTGGAGTATTGTCATCTTTTTCTGGCGCACGCCAAACAAAAAGAAATTCGCATATTCTGATGTAATCACCCCCATAACCCGTAAAAGCAGCAGATGCCTTTCATATATCTGGTACTTTGAGACGTAGTTAAGAAATACCCCCAATTGACGAGGAAATATTGCAGTCGCGAAAAAAATCAAAAATGTCTTGTAACATGACATGTATATCACGAAAAACTCATGTCACTCATTTCCGTCTACCTATCTGTCTGTCTGTCGGTCTGTCCTTCTGACTATCCGCTAATGCTTGATCTGTATATAACGTGGAAAGTATGGTATTGCTCGGAGTTTTATGAAATTTCGAAACAAATCTACTGCTATGTCAAAGACGGAAAAGCATTGTAGTTCTTGAAAATCAATGCAGTGGTAGTTGAGCTACAGGCAAAAAACGAAAACAATAATAATCGACCAAAGTCCGTTTTCCTTTGACGTTTGAGAGACTCCTGATCATTTTTAAAAATGTTTAGATGGGTAAAGAACTGAGAAATTTTGTTGCAAGGATGAAGAAGGCGCTAATATATTTTCTTACCGATAATGCTTCGCAGATATTTCACATTTCTATATATTTGACTTATATTTCCGGTACCTAGCAATGAAAATGGAGTTTCAACATGTTGCTAGCTAGTCGCCGCCGCTGGTGGCTTACCCATAGAAAATCTGGTCACAACGTTTTCGGATGGTCGGTAGCGCAGAGCCAAAATTTCTAGATCGCAACGCTGTCAAATGAGATGGGATTGGGGACTAATGGTATGGACCTATTTGACAGACTTGATCTATTTAATTCGTTTGTTATACACGTTCGTAATATTTTTTTTTAACTCGTGCTGAACATAATCTTCTATGAGCCTCACAGTCAACCACTTTCTTCTTCCAACCGATTACATTAAGATAACTACATCTATAAGCTATTTTGATATCCATCACACATGGAATTGGCCCATCGTACGCCCTCACAGGTCATAGTAACGATATTAACTTCTGTGTCTATTGCAGGTACATCCACAGTAAAGAAAAACCCTTCAAGTGCACGGAATGTGGCAAGGGCTTCTGCCAGTCCCGCACGCTAGCAGTCCACAAGATCCTGCACATGGAGGAGTCCCCGCACAAGTGTCCCGTGTGCAGCAGGTCCTTCAACCAGCGTTCCAACCTGAAAACCCACCTGCTGACCCACACGGACATCAAGCCCTACAACTGCTCGGCGTGCGGAAAGGTGTTCAGGCGGAACTGCGACCTGCGCAGGCACAGTCTGACCCACAACCTGGGCACAAGTGGATCGTCGCCAGGAGGAAGTGGGACAAGCAGTGCGGGGGGACAGGGGTTTAGTATAGACAGTCTGATGAGTAAAGTGGCCGCAACTGCGGCTGCAAGTAAATAAAAGGTTGTGAGTGTCATTTTACCACAGTGAGTGTGTTATTTATCAAGAGTTGTGGGTAATTTGATGCAACTTTGTTTTCCTGTGTGGGTAAAGCATTGTTATCGATATAATCATACACATGCTGCTCCCTAGACGTAGCGCAATAACTCAAGAAATTATTTTGTGGACTACTATAAACATATCTGGTCCGACCTGTGACGGTTTCAAATAATCGCCTTGTCTTTAGACAGATTTTTAAATAATAGTCTGACTCTGAAAGTCTGGTTTTATTAGTGCAAGTTGTTCAAGGGAGTATTTAAAACATACGCGTATAAAATGGGTACACCAAATTTTGTGGGATAACTATCGAAGCAAAATGCAGGTTTTGGCACTTGGTAATGCGACGAAAATTTCACGCAACTACTTAAAATTTCTCAGATCCGTAGGACTCATACTTCTAAATAACAACAAAATTGGACTATATTGGTCAAGTAGTTTTTTGAGTAAGTCTAATTCTTTTTCACAAAACACCTGTTTTCCGGTCAACACTATTAGTATATTGAGCAATATACAGGGTTCGTTCATAGAGCATATAATAAATAGCAAAATACACGTGTTTACCTTGGCGATATGAATCAAAAACCATTCCGAAAGATAAATGTTATTTTTATGCGCAAAAAGATGGATCCGTTTTTTCCTTCTAAACAACTTCAAACATGTCGTATTTGTGAGTAATTGAAAAAATGCGCTACGATATTCGAAAAACATACCTTGCTATACACGATCTTAAAATAAAGCGGATGTGTATATTATCTTTTGTTGCGAATTACTCACAAATATGAAATGCTTGTATTTGTTTAGAAGAAAAAAGTAACCCATTCTTTTTTGCATAAAAATAACATTTATCTTTCGGAATGGTTTGTTATTCATATCGGCAAGGTAAACACGTGTATTTTGCTATTAAATTCTCTTAGAACAAACCCTGTATATGGCTTAATAAACTAGTAGTGATTGCCGGAAAACAGGTGTTTTGGGATAAATAATACTTAAGATCCAAAAGAGATCATTATAGACAACTAAGCAATTTCACTAAGTATACTATTATCCGCGAAAAAGTTGCCTATTTTAATCAACTAGCAAGAAAAAAACAAGACGATTTTTGGAAAGCCGCGCGATGGCTTAATCTGACCAACCAGAGGACTCTTACTGAACTTCCTGATAATCTCTTAAATCCATCTGAGATACATGATTTTTTTCAGATGACTGATAACATGCCAGACACTGCATCATTAAACTTAATCAGTTTTTAAGAAAATAATCAAGCTATAAATAATAATTTGGAATTTCATTTGATAGATCGGAGCAGACTAGTAAAAATTGTTAATTCCATTTCATCAGGTGCGATTGGAGAGGATGGCATATCCATCAAAGACATAAAATTGTGTCTTCCTTTCTGCGCAAATGCATTGATTAATATTATTAACACATGCCTTTTGGAAAACGCTTACCCTTCTGTTTGGAAAAAGGCTATTGTGAAACCCATATCAAAGGTTGGCGAGCCTAAAGAACTTAAAGACCTCAGACCAATTAGTATTATGTCCTCTGTGTCAAAACTTATAGAAAAGCACATTTTTGTTCAGATGTCGGAATATTCTGAATCGCAAAATATCATTCCTCAATATCAATCGGGATTCAGGAATAATTTTAGTACAACTACAAGTTTGGTAAATATTTTGAACGATGCCCGAATGCATGAGGACCAAAAAATGCTACTTGCATGATTTTGTCAGATTTCAGCAAAGCTTTTTATACCCTAAATCACAGAATGCTGCTGGCAAAGCTAAGCTATTTTGGATTCTCACCTAATGCGATAAGTTTTTTAAAAAGTTACCTAAGTACTCGATCAAGCTGTGTAATGATTTCTCAAGGATCCGTTTGCCTCAAATCTGAATTCAAACCTGTAAAACAAGGTGTCCCTCAAGGATCAATCCTTTCGCCTTTGCTATTTAGTATTTATGTGGCAGATATGTCTGAAGCTGTTCCTTATGCAAGGCTTCATCAGTACGCCGATGACTCACAACTTTGTATTGCTATTAATAACGGCAATTTAGGCACAACCGAAAATCACAATAATTCAGACCTGCTAGAGGTAAACAGTTTTGCCATACGCCACAATGTAAAACTCAATGCTTCTAAATCAAAAGCTTTAATTTTGGGATCTAGTTTCAAACTTAGGAGAAATATTGAGCGTAGTTTGAATATCCGTATAAACAATGAGATAGTCCCCATTGTTCACGAAGCAAAAATTGACGGCAGCTTACATACGATTAAGAAATATCTCCAAACTAAAAAAATTTTAACTACATAAGCAAAAGTATTTCCTTTATCAGAATCTCATACTGTCGCTTTTTGACTATGGAGATATAGTTTATGGGAGCTCGTTGGCATATACTACTAACAATGCGATACAAAAATTGCAGAACGCCTGCATGCGATTTTCATTCAACATACCTTATCGTAACCACATAACGCCTTACCTAAACAGTTTGTCTATACTGAATATGCTAAATCGCAGGAAACATCATTTATTTAATTTCATCTATAGAATAATAAAATCACGAAAACCTCCGTATTTGTAAAATGAGCTTTAACTTTTAATCATTATTACGGGACAAGGTGTAATCAGAATTTTTTTATTACTCCTCGACATGAGTCTGCAGCATTTAAACGTTCTTTTTCATTTCTTGCAGTTAAAATGTGGAACAGTCTAAATAATGATGTAAAGGTAATGTCACAAAGAGTGTTCTCAAAGTATAATAATGGCCATGCTTCTTCAGGATCAATAATACAATAATGAGTGTGATTGTGCACGGATACTTGTTGTCAAGTTTATTTTTTCAAATTTAACTTTTTATTAAGATGGAGAAGCGAGCATGTGATGATAGATGCTGTATGTGTGTGTAGATGTATTTCTACTTATGTAAAGCTGGGTGTTACCGGTCATTTGATCGAGGATTTGTCCTTTTTGACAAAAATATTATTAAGTGTGTGTATTTTCTATAATACGGTAAATATAATGTTTTTATTGTTTTTGTTTTTTGGCAAATAAATGTATTTTGAATTTGAATTTGAATTTCAATAAACAATTAGAAATTCTCAAAAACTACTTGACCAATCTGCTCCAATTTTGTTGTGGTTATTTAGAAGTACAAATTTGAAAAACTTTAACCATCTGCCAGAAACCATCGTTACATTAACAATAAGCACCAAAACCTGCAGCTTCCCTCGGTTTTCGGTCATAACTTTTTTCTACTAGTCGTATCTTTTTATATGTTGACTCATTTTGTAGGTCTCATAGATACCTAAAAATCTTATATAAAGAGTTTTTCATTTCTGCCAACACTTTCGATTGAATCCCTAATTGCACGTTTTCTCATTCTTTTTTGAGATTGGTGTACCTATTTTATGCGTCCATGTTTTAAATACTCTCTTGAACAACTAGCAGCAATAAAACCAGACTTCACAAGTACTTCGCAAACCAGGGGTATTTTTGTCTAATATGATTAAACTAATCGTATATATTTCAACATATTTTGGAGACCACTGGATCCTTACCTCTGAGCACGTTTTGAGTAGTTATGCTTCCTTTATTTACACAAAAACATCAGAAGGGGAAAGATGTTCTTAAGATATTCTAGCAAAGATACAATACTATCATAATCTTTTGAGGCTTCGTTTTTGAAGACTGCCAAAAAGATATGAGTTGCACCCACAGAAACTTTCTGTTTCCGTTTGTTGTGAATTTTTTCTTGTAATGTAAATCCGTTTTCGTGCTTGAAATTGATCTCGAAAAAATAACTAGTTGCTTATAATATCTACTGACGCAGCATTTTATAAGAAAGCTGCAAGAGAAAGATAAACCTATGAATCGATAGAATAATGGTTTCTCAAGTTCTATGGAATCTGTACATTTCTCAGTTTCACCATTCGCATCTAAAATTTAGGAACTTGTGTTTTACAATCTATCTAACAGTTATTTCACATTAGAGCATTATATGTATCAAGCAAGCATTAACTAAAATAGCGTCTTTAGCTATTGTACGTCTGAAAAAATGGTGAACTGTAATATTGTACAAGTACGTTGAGATCCTAGAACTTGGTAAATATTTCCTGTTATGTTGGCTGATATGTCCTTTCTTTAAACTAAAGATAAACAGCGCTATCGTCCAGTAAATTATTGTGACGTATCCAAAATGTATATGCAATAAAAAAGATTTGAGTTTCATTCTATTATGTACAGTAATTTGCATTTTTGTGGTTGTGTATGTTAGTCTTATAGTTGCTTATTTCAGTATGTTGTGTAAATATATGTATAGAACCTCTGATACTATATTTCAAAAAATAAATGTTTTTACTTGTGTGCCCTTTACTTTTCATTGGTGACCTGTAACATCTGTTGGGATGCGCCATTTTCATAAGCTGTCGCATCGTTTTAAAGTAAAAAACTAGACTCCATTCCAAATTTTCTCTAAATACTAGGATAGTTTCTTTCAACTTGAAACGTTTGAAAATCTCCTATATTCTGCAAAACCTACCTTCAAATGCGCTCTCTTTTATAATCGATACAAAGCAACAAGGACATATGCAAGATAGAAAGTCAGAGAGAAACACGTATGTTAGAGCAATAGCGCGAATCAAGCATCCACGGACTCATTGTCTTTGGTATCGAGCACGCTCCATTCGCGCTCCTAGTCTAACATAGGTGTTTCTCTCTCTCTCTATCTATCAAATACGGGACCTCAGTGATTCTCTCCCAGTCCTGTCCTGGCAGATTTAGGAATCTGTCTAGGGCGGAGGGCGTAGTGAGGGTCGCAGGATTTATCTTCAAGAAGATGTTCGTCTTGAGGTGGGGGGGCGATATAGCAGTGATTGAACATTGAAGCATGCTTTAGCAGTGCTTTTAAGAGCA